TTATTTTGCATACATAGTGTTGGCTTAAATTTTTGGATTACTACTGCTTCAACTTTGTCTAAATGTCTTGTTCTCACTCCAGTTGAGAGGTTTTATGCTACATAGCATATAGGTTTAGAAAGCTTCGATTTCACTTTTCAACTCGAGATTCAACAGAAGAAGCCCTTTTAGGGGCAACGTCGACTTTTGAGCTTACCTCTACAAAACTTCCTTTCTCATTTAACAATGCAATGTATTGTGTTTCATTACCATTTTATAGTTAATAGATGAATAAACTAGTAAAATATTTTTTTGAACACATCAAGGCAACGCACTTTATTTGATGAAGAGTAAAGGTGTGCGAAATCCCAATTTTTCACCTATAAATCATATTTACCAAATCGGGATATTTTTCAGGTCCCTCCTATCATACGTCATAATAATACATCTGGAAATAATTTATTGTGTCCATGTTCTGATTGTCACACTCTTGTACATTAACAAAAGTCATACGAAGAAGTCATGTGTAGATTTAAAAACAGTAGTTCAAGGATCACAATTGGGTAAGAATAGAAAAGGGGTGGAATTTATTTTTACTTAACTCCTATCAAGGTAGTAAATACTGACAAGTAAAGTTAAAACGAAGACTTTGTTGTGCAGTATATTGGTATAGTAGCATAAATCTTCTTCAGAATTCATTATAATGTCATACTGTATAGTTTAATAGACAGAAAAGGTGTGCTTATCGAGCACGGCTAATTTCCTTCATAAAATAACGAAAAGCCATTTCTTTGCAAAGAAGCCCTATGTCGTCATAGTCTTGACTCGTTCCTTGGAAAAACTGTGAATTTCTATAGATAGATGTATCTATGGTGATGTAATTGTCGACACCTATATAGTTTCAGATCAGTGATATAATTAACTGGAACGCACAGAAACATTTTCTCTGTTTACGTAGACCACAGCTGTTCTATTTCCTTAAATGGATTTTACTGTGTTAAATGTTTCATTCAAAACATCTTGGTTTAATATTTACCTGAAATATAGCTCATTCAGCATTACGTTTGCTTGAGTTATCAGAATACGTTTATAATTCTGATTGACTTTCAACAAAGCCAGAAGCAAGTGCTCATGGATTTTTCTCTCTAATGGCGCTTATATATACAGTGTGGAGAATGCTTTGTTTTTCATTGTTTATTGCTTTCGTCAAATATTGAATTATCAATTTATCTGTATTCAGACACACTTGATAATTCCCAAGTTGATAGTGTGACCAGTTTGTTTTATTTTGTATAGTTTTAACAGTTACACTGGGGATGCTTTATTCTTATGTTGTTAATATAATTTTCTTGCCTTGATATTTATTTTTGCTTTAAACAAAGCAATTTACTGATAGGTGTATGCTTAATGAGTAAGTATTTAGATGCTGTCCTTAAATGTGATCACCCGATTAAACCTATATGTTCACAAGTCCCTGATATTTTTCCCATCCGTATTTATTTTTTATTTAATTATATTTTACTCTGATCGTTCTTCCAAATAGTCTTCGTCAGAATGTACACTAGAATAACGACTATAATTCTTCTATTTTGATGGTTAACTTTAACAGTTAAACAGAACTGGTTGACAGAAAGCTGGTTAAAACAACAAGGTGTCCAAATGATCTGGACATCTAGACTACAAGTAAAATAAAGTACGAAAGGCTTAGTCTTTAATAAGTGCCGAAGAATAGGTGTAATTTTTGATCTGTTACCGTTATGATATATTCACCTTTACTTGTTTCTAAATTTCCGTTTTTCATGTATTTAATCTGGCTTCATTTAACCTCTGTATGATGTATGCATATTACTCAAGAACCATATACGTAGTAATGTAGCCAGCAGTGGGCAATGATACAATTCTGCTGTCCAACCACGACGGGCGGAGTATGCTCAGGGAAGTTATTTCAATTTACCACATGAGAGTTATTATAAATGAATCTAAATTCTACAGGAATTATTTCCTGAAAAAGTGAGAAACTTTACTTTAAAGATCGTTTGCGTAAACCAGACAAGGTCAGTCAGAAGTCGTTATTTAGAGTCCGTCTTTAGAATACGTTATCTTAGGATACTTTCGAATAGGAGCAGAAAGTGTTTGACTGAAAGCTAGAAGCATTAGTTGATAGTTTAACTAAACCCTAATTTTAATTTATTTTTGTTTTGACCAACCACATTTCATGCATATCTATGATGTTCCATTGTGATCAAACCTTAGCATATATGTCTTTGCACACCAACACACTGTATATACATTTGAGGGAATGGTGATGATAGTGCCCTAACCTAATTCGAATGAACACCAAGAAGATGGCCTAGATATGAATGACTTCATTTTTTGACAAAAAAGCACACTAAAAAGGGCATATTTAGTAAAAGTCAGTCTATTTTGACCTGTGACCTTCCAGATCTTGGTGAACTGGATCATGCAACGGCCTGTGAGAATCCCATACACTGCACCCTAGGTAGTCTGAATTCTGCTGATAATCTATTCCCTAATTTCCAGCAACTATAAGATTTACAAACGAATACCAACTAACTGGTAAAACAGACATCGAAAACCAGTCTATAGGTGAACACAGAGAAGACGGAAGTGATGAAGATACTCAAACACATCTTACAAAAACAACAAGAAACAATATACAACATGAATGGGTGAAATCAAGTGGAAGTCATTTCATTCACTTAACTAGACAGATAGAATAGTCTCATCTACAGGTGGGTGGCGTGGCTGAGTATGTGAAAGCCATCCCAGATCGGATAGTGAAAACAAAATATGCGTTGATTACTCTAAAAACAGCGTTGACGTCGGCAGCACGTAGCATGAAGAACACTAATTACAAATCGGTTCTTGTATATAATTTCTAACAAACAGTAGGCCTTTATCAATGGTGTCTGTATCTTGACAATGAATATCAGGTGGCCGCCTGAAATCGATAAGTAAGCAATGAGGGACTCTGGCGGGTAGCCATCCAGCAGACAAGAATCTACCGACCAATAAACATGCAGAAGGAAATGGAGATGGATTAAAAGTACGCTGGGGAAAGATTTAAGAGGAGTTGCAATGTGAAATAAAGGTTTGGTTGTTGCAGGATTACATGAATAAGCTCATGAAGAGTGGAAATAAGAGTGTGTTGCCAGTGGTAGGGTCATTCGAAACTAACTGCGGAGAACCAAGTGAAATGAAGACATGCTGTTGAGGTGCTATTTTTCACTTGAAGTGCAGGGAATTAATAAAAATAATGTCTCATGCAATATGCTTTTAATTTCCCCTAATATAAAATCACACTGAATGAAGAAATAAGCACATCAAACACCACCTAATCACCCAAGTAATGCTAAACGGGAGTAAATTAAAAAGTATGCTATACCATGGAGTAGTTTTTCTCAAATAATCCATGCGGTACATTTTTTTATTTCATTAGGAGAAGAAGAAAGTCATGATGCCCTAAGAGTGTGATAATGCACTACTTATTATATTGGAAAAGTTTGAGAATTGGCAGCAGAAAGCGAACATTAAACTTATCTTTTCTGTTAAGTAATACACTTCAGACAAATGTTAAGATTTTGAACACAGATTCGGAAAACAGTAGCATATTGTTTAGTTATTTGCGTCTGAAAGCAGACATATGTTAAGTTGCTAAGGCTGGGTCATGTACTAGGATATAAAGCCCTAGAATGTTGAAATAGACAAATAATTAGAAGAAATACATTGGCAATAAACTAACATTTCCATGAGTTGAACGTGCTTGCATATTATATTTCCCGTAATAGATGAGTTCCTATTTCTTTGTTATCTTTGTGGCTTGAAGTCTGATTGAAAGATATTTTAGAATGTCGTGTCTGAATAAGATTCAGTTATTTAAATTCTACATCGCATAAAATAAACACGACTTACCTATGGAGGAATTACTGATAATCTACCTATTATTTTCACTGCGCACTAGGGATAACAGATTTGTGTTTTGCCCGTTTACTGGTTCACATAATCTAGTCATTAGAAGATTATTCATTTTCTATCAATTTGCATAACACAACTTCAGATAAATAAACTGAAATGCAATATATGTGTATTGATCTCATTTCCACAGGCTTATTTCTAGGAAAAACAACAGAAATGTTTTCTGTACTTTTACATCAATGAAATGAAAAAACTCATCAACAAAGCATTCCAGTGTTGTGTTCCTTAATGTTTTCGGTTTATTATGCTTATTCTTCACTGAGTTATTTTTTTTAACATGACGAGTTACTTCCGTTAGTTATATCTTTATTGATCATAACGTTTCCTAGGAGGTTTAAAATGTTATGTAAACATTGACTAAATCACTCACTCATTAGTCTTGATACAGTCTGTTAGTTTTGGAAAAAAAGGTGAAGAACTGAGTTGGAAATATTAGACTAGACTAAAATCACTATTCTGGTTGTCAGTATTAATTCTGTCTAGTTTTCTGTTTTCTCATGGAAAGAGAATCAAAATGTTCATCATAAACTATACATTTTATCAAATACTCTGCTCACAATTATATCAAGTCTGTTGATATGATTATGAGCAATAGCTTGTGCTCAAAACATGGTCATCAGTTAATATTACTGTATAACACTGTGTGATTTATCAAAATAAAATATTATCCATAATGGAGTTATACTCTACCACAGTACCCAAGTTTTATACTTACTTTCACTCACTTAACCTGAAAAATTAAACCACGAATGAGTCATGTATTTTACATTAATCGAAAAGTTTCACCGGTATCTTTTTTTATTGAAAAATTAAGGCCTCGATCAAAAAATGACATGAAATCGATGCTATAATTCTTCTAAAATTGAGATCAGCAGGAATATAGTTTGTCATAAATTATCAAATAACTAAAGAATCGTGTGCAGTGTAAAAACAGTTATACCAAAAACACTCATTTGTCGAGAACTAATGAAAATCAGTTGGTAGTCAAAAATATAAATAGAAAGTTTATGAAAAGATAAGCTTACCTCAGGTATTCGTTTGACATAAACACTTGGATTTTGCTCTGAATCAATAAGAGAATGTCCTTTATTGTGCAGTGCACACACCACCATTCCCAAAGAAAACATGTCAGCAAGTGGTGACATAGAATTATACAACTGAGCCTCTGGAGCAATAAAGTCTAAATCTGGTTGAGCAGCACGTGGAATTTTCACTGAATATCCAGTGAATTTCGGAGTAACCTGAACATAAGTTTGTGGAATAATAAATTGAAATTCCAAGCTGATGAACAGGCTCAAAATATGAATCAAATAAATGGTTTTAAACACGTGCACCACTCTTCACTTTTCTGTAAGATTAAAATGTTTGTTTACATTGCTAATGCAAATACTCCAATAATACACCAACAACTGTTAAACTGTTAAGAAAGTAACTTCTTTATCTGTTCAGACAGTACACTAACTGATAGTCAATAGATGTGCTCGAATTTACTATTACAGTGGACTGAAGGGCATGATATGAAGACCATTAATTCCTATTTGTCTGTTAATTAGCATAATGTGTATTTTAACATTGAGCCTCCTTTTTTAATACAGGTACTGTAGTAGATCAAAGTGAATTTGGTGCACAGTTCAACAAACACCGTACATCAGTTGTCTACTCAAACAATCACAGAAGTCAGTTTTTAGTAAAGCTTAATTATATATATATATAATGTAAAATAACTTGCCAAGCCTAGAGAGTATATACCAATAATTATACACCATCTTGAAAGGAGATACATTTTACTTTAAACTCATTGGAAGGCAAATTATTCACAGCTGTCATCAGTGAATAGGTCTTTAGAGTTCACTTGATATGATTCTAATCAATGCATTGTGCTCCAGATGTCACGCTATCATAAATACTCTATCATTGTGTGTTATATCAAACAACTTATCTGATGTATTCCCCGTTAACTCATCTTAGTAAAAACCTTCATCAATATCAACTCCTGTAATCTTTTTTTGGAAAAGATTCACCATAGAATTCTGGAGGTGTGACATATCTTAAGTTCGGATTGGTTATATATATTTTTTTCGTGGCATACTATCTTCTCAAAACAACAGTAACCCTAAACATCTTTTGAAGAACAAAACAAACTTTTAGAATAAACATTATTCAACATAAATGTTAATATATAACGACGTAATTTGTTTTGATTGAACACCAAAATAATCAATCTATGCATCACTTCAAATTCTGTCCTTCTAGCTAACTGAAACAAACAGAAGTGATTTGTTTTTTTGTTTTATCTCCAGCAGTAATTAATTTTGATTAAACATTTTTACCTTGTGAATTGCCTGGGCAATATTCCCTAAGAATAATGAAAACAAGTTACTGACAGGAGTGTTTAGTAAAAAACAACAGTTTTGTAATAGTTGCGTTGATTGTTTTGAGTTTCATCACACAATTATTCACTTTTTACTTAGAGGTAGAGAGTGTGCTGAGTATATTTTTCTATTTCTCGCCTAATAGTCAAAATAATGAAAACTGTCTTGATAGTTCGGGTTATGGACTAAATTATACTGCATTGGAATTCAGTGCACTTCTACAAAAAACAGGCGAACAGTTTGTTCGCTTAAACAGACAGTGTGACACGGTAGCTGAAACAGAACATAAGTAATCAGTGATGAGTGTTTACGCGATTGGCTAAAATGATTCACACAAGAATATTTATACACATGGAGAAATAGCTCACATTTGAAATACATTTAAGCTAACAACTACTTGTTGGAGGGTGTGAGCCACTACAATAAACGGTCAGCGTTGATCGGTATAGGGAATCAATAAAAACGAAAAGTAGGAGTATAAATAATATCTAGCAAAGTAAAACGTTTCGTTATATTATGCATCTTCTAGTTTAGGAGACGAACAAATCTGTTTCATGCTATGATCAGTAAATGATAATTGAGGATGTTTGTACTCATTTTTGGAAATCTGTAAACTTTATGCTTTATCAGGCACTGTTATGTTCTGTGTAAGAAGCAGATACTCCATTCACGTCTTCCGAAGAATAAACAAGTGATCCTCTACAGACGGTTACCAATTTGAGGGCATATTTATGGTAGAATGGTAAGCTTCACACTACTGAAAAACTTCGTCTACTAAGCTTCCACCACACTGACAACAGTATGGTGTTACAGTGTTCATATTCCTCTTAATAAGTTTAAAATTTATAGGAATAAATGTTCTAAAGAGTGTCACAGGAGTCCACTTTTCTTCGTCATTTTTTAATTATATTTACTGCACTAGATAATCTAGTTTACGTGATTAGAATTAAACAACCAGTATGGAATGCAGAGAAAGCCGTGGAACGGAAAACATTTTTCGAAATAAAGTAAAATTTAAACAATCACGTTGAGATATTACAGATATAAAATACATGAGGGAGAAAGTTATCGTGATGACACAAATGAAAAAAGACGTAAACAGAGAAGAAAATTCTCTTTTCAACGATTCATTTTTATAGGCTGCACAATCAGATATTGGTAAAATTTGTCCTCAGAAATGTGTTGCGTAATGTAAGGTGTAATCTAGAAGGGGTGACTAATTGGGAATTACAAAAAGGGGCACAGGTTGGAATGACGTAATAAGTGTGAGAAAATGACTAATTAATATGACTGTGTAGAATGGACAGGGACTAGTGGGAAGAAGATAAAGTGTTTTTATAAAATCTGTATGAAAACGCAAAGTTATTAATAAGCAGTAATAGAGAGATAATAATGATGAGAATAATAATGATAATAAAGCAATAACAACAATAATAGCAAACTTACATAATAAAAAGAAGCAAAATTATAGTAAGAACGTTTTTCTGGCCACGGTAGGGCGAATGAATGTATGTAGTGCTTTTGAATGCAGAGGTCCGGTTTCAGATCCCGAATAGCCAGTGATTCAGCTATGTATAGATAGTGTATTCGAAGTCCCTTTGCACGATATTGAGGGACTCTGTGTAGTACTGTGAAGCATTCATGCGAGGGTGCTCGTTGTCCGGAGATGACTAGGTGTTCCAGGATGGAACTGCTAGTATTCTTCTTTTCTCCTCTGGCTAATCAAGCTGGACAATATTCCAGAATACGTTTGTGCACTTGACGTTGAGTGCGTCTGATATATTTGCTCCAAACGAGCAAGTTAACTGATAAATACACATTGAGATGGCTAAAAGCGTTATCTTATCCTGAAAGTTAGACTGGATTAACCGTTTGCTGGAGAATGTGATGTGTAAGGTTTCTACTTGAAATGTCTTCTTCAGACATTTAGAAAGGCGGTTTCTAAGAATTTCTGCTTCGATATCACCTTTGAATTCCAGGTTCATGAAGAGAGTTTTCTTTGGAACAGTTTTTGATTTTTGGCAATGGAGGTATTTCTTTCATGTTTTGTCGATGAATCTTGGTGGATACCCGCTCTCTAGTAGGGTTTCACGTAATGAATAAAATTCTTTCTCTATCGTGTCCTGCGAACAGATTTTTCTATTCCTTGAACTTAATGTACTTACCAGGTTTTGCTTTCGGATCAGTGAGACGAAGCTCTGGAAGTTGATAAACTGTCCCGTTCATGTTGACTTACTATATACTGACCTTTGGACTGTGCAGTCTTGTCTTCTGGTAAATAGTACATCCAAAAATGGAAATGTCATGTTCGATTCGCGTTCTAATATGAATTTTATTGATGGGTGTGCCACGTTGAAGGTTTCGAGGAGATCCTCTAAATCAACTTTCTCCTCACGAATTATGAATGTATCATCTACGGATCTCCTATATAAGTGCAGTTGACTGATCCAAGGACTCACCATGAAGCAGTCAGCTACGAGTGGACCGACAGGAGACCCTATAGCTACACCATATTTCTGTACGTAGAATTGTTCATTGAATTTGAGTTGGTTATTAAGCGTACATTTAAGAAGAAGTAGTTCCTTCAGGTAGTTGATGGGAAGAGGAACTTCTAGGTTGTTGGTTTTGATTTATTCACAGATGAAGCATATTGTTTCGGTCAGAGGGATGCTTGTGAATAGAGAGGTGACATCTAGTGAAAGTATTTGTCTTTCACACACGTTGATATCTTCCACGGAGCCGATGAAGCCAAATGTATCGCAAAGACTATACTTTGTCATATATCTTCTCACTGGTTCAGGGATATCAGCTAGCCACTTTGTGATCTGATGATACGGTGAGTTGGCCATATCCATGATAAGTTGAAGTGGGACATTCTTCTTATGCACTTTAGGCAATCCATATAGTTATTGAATAAGTGAATTGCATGGCTTTATTTGTTCATATACCTCTGGTGTTATGACTGAATCTTTTTTCATTCTCTTCAGCAATTTTGTAAGGAGGTTTACTGTTCTTTCCGCTTTGTCTTTCTGGTTGGATGATTTGAAGAATTTGGTGTTGTCTGATAGTATGTTTGTTAATTTTTCAATATAGTCGGATGTATCCATTACCACAATCCCACTACCCTTATCAGGACGGACGAGGATTATATCTTTATTTTCTTGTTAAGTTGTTTTCTGTATTCTTTGGTCAGCAGATAACGACGGCTCAGTCGTGTACGAATATATTTGTAGCAGCTGCTGTTTAAGTCTTTTTCTTATGACTCAATATGGGGATATTTCGTTCATTGATGGTATTTATGTTGTACAAAATAAGAATGTCTTGGGAAATAGTACTTAATAAAGTACAATAAATAGAACTACAAAAATGAAAATCACCATGGCTTAAAAGCCCGAAACATTTAATAGGTGATAAGATAAAGAGCAAACAGGTAATTCATGTTTAAAACCCTTGACCATATTGTCCTTTGCACATCAAAGAAGATTGGAACAGTTTTGTTTTTGATTAGTTTACACTACTTTAAGCCAGTCTCCTAGTGCTCAGTGCCTAGGAATTAGTCAGCGATTGGAACTAACTGCACAGTTATGTCTCATTAATCAATGTCCCTTCACGACATGTTCGGAATAACTGTAAGTTCTTTCTGTTTGTTGACTGTAACTGTTATATTCGAAATGATACACGAAATGATCCATACGAGATGCCTGTTGACTGCTGATTGTTCCAGTAGGCAAGACATGCTGGATGGTGGAAATAACTTAGCTTCACAGTACACGGTAGTCGGTACTGCAGTGAATATTTAGTCCTTACCGAGGTGACCTCATGAAAGTGGTACTAGCGTAGCAGTTCAGAAGCCTCCTCATAAATGAAAAATTGTAGACCCTTTGTCGCAATGAGCATTGTTATTGGAGTCACGACTTCAACACTTTTGTCTTTCTAGTGCAATACTCTGAAATCCTTGTCTTTAGAATCATAACATCTTCTTTTGATTAGTGTGGTTTATTTGAACATGGCATTTCAGTAGATACATTTTGATGACCTGATCGTTTAATTGCGAGCTAACGCCAGCCTCAAACTACGTAAGAGTGCTAAGATTTGTAAGTATTCACATTTAATAAGGTTGTAGAGTACTAAACTCTTCATTTTGCCTAGTTTAAGGCAATCTATTCAAATATTTTGCTTCATTTTTCCTTCAAGTTTCGTATTTATATCTACTTGAAAAATTTCCATAAATAGTCAATAACTAGGCAAAACTAATGATGGGAAAGTAGAAAAAAAATGCTTTTTAACGTCCTGGCATTTTGAAACATTATGATTACAATTAAAGAACTACTGAAGAGCAGGAAACACTGGACAACTGCTTTGATCATTTAGTGGTGAACAACTATGATCTAACTTGAAGTCGTGCCGAGGACTTCATGTCACCAGTCATAATGTAAGAATAGTGTGGACCATGAATTCTTACCTCTGTCTACTTTCAGCAAAGATGATATGCTGAAATCCTGTTATACTCAAATGTTCGATTAAATGCTACACTGCAGTTATCATAATTATACGGAATATATCATACATTTGACTGTCCCGATTCACATACACATAGTATCACAGCCAGGATACTTTTAGTCTCAATCTTCCTAAAATCACAAACAAACCATCAGTGTAGTTACTCACATGGAAACTTCTATTCATCAGACATAAAACTCAGAAACACAGTTATAGGTTTGTTAAAATTACTTCCGTCCCTTCAAAAAAAAAGAATGAATAACACAAGATACAAATGAATTTGTTGTGATGACTAACCAGACAGTGAATACCTCTATTTTTTTTGTATACAATCTCCGTGTTTTGTTTACAGTTATCATAACATTTCTTCAATAGATTAGTTAATTAAAATTGTGAACATGAATAGAAATAGAATGAAAAACAATCAAGTCTCTTTGTTTATCCAGTGGGCTGGCTTCCAGTTTGTTTGAGTTTATTGATTGTTTTTTATTAATAATAGCGGATAATTCGGTTACTAAAACTCATTATAATTCTATGCAATTCATTTTTGTTTAAGATAATGTTTGAGTTAAAAATTTTGAAACAGTTATTTACCACGCATCCGGGGAAATTTATTATAACTATATGAAATAAATTTTACGACAATAGAGAAATATGTATTCAGATTAAGGAGATATTTCATTTACACTATCAAATAAGGGAACAAACACTGATGCTCCATACTTAATTGCATGTTGACTGAACAACACTTCCAACATCTCAAGGATACTCATCTTGAAAAAGTGGAAATGAATTGAGGCACTATTAGTCGATTGTAAACCTTGAAAAACTTGTCAATTCTTCTAAATGGATAAATCTTGAAGGTAAAAGCCATTACCTTTTCAAATATTTCTTTAGGTTGACAGTAGACTGTAAAACATGAGATCGAATGAATCGATGGTAACTAAATGTTTAATAATTGTGTTTCTCAAGTATTGGTTTTGTAGGGATTTTGTTTCATTGCATGGAGGATTTCATCATGAGCTGACATCAGTTAGATAACCACTGGAAAACCTATGAGTTCTGGACAGCTGTTTCGTCCTAGTTTGGGACTCTTCTCTTCGAGCCCCGGTGGGTGCGTACTGATGAAGAGTCCCAAACTAGGACGAAACAGTTGTCCAGTACTCCCTGCATGTTTTCCAGTGGTTCTCTAACTGATGTCAGCTCATGATGAAATCCTCCATGTAATTGTGTTTATCTAATATCTGTTTCACCGATAACCCTCAATTATGAAAAGACGAATCAAAAGACAAATTCAGATACTTATTAAAATAAATCGCACCAATCGGAAAGCAAAATATTTTGTGAAGTGCTCAATTTGAAAACAAGTAAGAAGACCATCTTCCTTACTCTGAAGTGAAAACTAAACTAATACAATATTTCTTTAAGAGAGACCTTGGAGTCAGTGTAGAAATGTAATTCTACAATGCCTTCTCAAATCAAATTATTCCCCAGGGACTTATAAGGTGAAATAAAATCGATTTTGTTAAACTGTAACTTACTTTTGTAGTGTCAACGATCTTTTCCAAATAATTCAACCCTCCAAGTTTCCAGATACTTCTGTTAATCAATAATATTGATGACGGATTTATGTTACAGTGCATGAGTTCTTGAGTACTGTGAAGATATCTAAGGGCATCTGTAATCTGAGAACGAAAATGTGATGATAAGCAAAAAAAATTGATTGACATTCTGACCAAATGAATACTATTCCTTTGTTCCCTACATTTTCTTTCTAGTTATTATATTAGTTTTTCTACAAAAACATCTTGATAACGCCTTTAGTTCTTATTTTGCGGCATTTGTTTTGTGGTGGCTATAAACTGTCACGAAATATCGTATTTGTAACTAGTTCTTCCTGAATCCCAGTGGCCTAGTATACATACAACAAAGTGGCAGGCAGAAGCTTCAATTCTCACGGAGGAAACCGGTGCCTAGAAGAATAGAGATACATCAGCCTACCATGAAGCATTTCCTGCTGAAATCTTAGTAAGTTCTGATCACCAAATCCGTTGGCAAAAGTAACTAAAACTCATTCAGCTGAAATTTCCACATCTTGTAACTAGTTGTCTTGTTTTTTGTTGATTATCAATATTTACAGATCAGTTTGAAGATAGTTGGATGGATTAAGACACTATCAAACTCGTCACTCGTCGTTATAAAAGCATATTAATCCAAAGTAGAAATGAACTAGAGTTGCTTTAAATAAAAATGCAAAATTCGTCGACTCCTAATACTTATGACCGTCTTTCACCAAGTAGTATTGACTTACAGAAAGCACTATATACGCACTTTATCTTGGCCAAAAAATACTTCAAACGAAACACAGTTTTTGATAGCTGCTATTAAATGGCAAACTTGTAGATTTTATTGTTACACAGCTCATCAAACTTGTTTAAAATGAGTATTATCATTTCAAATTTGTTACAGAACAAGAAAAGTATCTTCTATACATCAATATTTTCGTTTCATATATTTGAGATAATAGACAAGAACCTACTGAAGTTCACAGTGGAATTATTATTATTATTGTATCCTTTAATTCCTACAGGAACATAGGGCTTCAGCCGTGCGTCTCCATTGCGTTCTGTTCTCTGCTAGAGTCTTCACCTGGCTCCATGTCTGCCCACACGTTTTCATCTCCTCTTCACATGACCTCCTCCAAGTCACCCTTGCACTGACGACCAACTCGCCGCTTCCCTTTCGGGTTCCACTCGAGCAATGGCTTGTCTAGTGATGTCACTTGATGGTCTCCTCAGAGTATGGCCAGCCAATCCATCTCCATTTCTTCCTGCTTATTTGTTTCAAAATCGGCTCCTGGTTGGTTGGCTCCAGAGATCTCTGTTGCTGATATTTCTCGCCATCTGATCGTGAGCGAAGACAACTGTTAATGAAGGTCTGTAGTTTGTTTGAGGTGCTCTTTTTGTGACGCACCAAGTCTCTGATCCGTATAGTAGCACTGACTGACTTCACATTGGAGTTGAAAATCCGGATGTTATTTTTGATGGTGAGTGTTGTTGACCTCCACACAGACTTGAGAGTAGTGAAAGCTTGTCTTGCTTTTCCGATTCTTGCTTTGATATCCTCGTCACAGTGGGATTACTTTCCATTAACCAACTCTCATATCATCAGAAAAATAAATATTAGAAGGATAATTTTATCCCAGTGTACTCAGTGCTAATATGAAATAGTACATTTTCAGCATAGTTTTGTTCTCAGTTCAGTTAATTCTGGCTGAATCAGTCAGCTTTACATGCAGCATCATTGGTTATTAGTGGATAATTTAATTATGAGATAAATTTGCAGTGAAAATAGCTAAAAGTTTGCTTTTTATTCTGAAAATATTTTCTATTGATGTGGTTAATTCATCTGTACATTCTTGCTGTTCAAGTAAGACAAATAAATGACAGTTTTCTGTAAAAGTGAATTCAGCTGAATAAAACCACATGCTTTAAGTTTCGGGAATAATGTCAAGAATGCTTAAAAAGTCTGTGTGTGTCTTGTTATGCACAGCGCATTGCTATGCATATCAGAAAACGTCTATCTTCTACCTGAACTAAAAACTTGATTTCCAGGTGACTTTACTTTTCATATACTCAACAACAAAAAATTTTTTAACAATCAATAAATATGACGCAATATTTTTATTTTATGTAATGCATAAAGCAGATGAGTTAACTAAATGCACCTACCTGATACACCCCAAATATAATTTCAAGTTCACAAAAGGAGAAATCCTGTGCAGGGGTTTAAAAAGATTTTATTCTGTATAAGGAGCTTTGTTCAAAAAATCTTTATCGTACAAAAGGATTTATTTAAAGAAAAGACCAAATAACCTAGAGCTGAATCTCCACCTAATTTGTGTGATATAATTTTAATGTGATCAACTCTTTATTTTATTGTAGGTTACAGTTTAAACATTACTGAATATTCGTCATATAGCTGAATTTATTTTAAATCAGCTTCACATTAAAAATTTTATCAGTACTTATTTTCCTGGTAACTCAACTTCCTGTCTAACCGTCACACGACCTAAAAACAACCTTTGTTCATTGGTGTCTTCAAAAAGAAAACACTTTTCGCATGTCAATTCCCATTAATCCTAGCATATATTCTTCAAATAACCGAGAATAGCAATTAAAATGCAATTATTATTATTAATGTTCTTTTGGGTTCCCAGTGGAACATAGGGCTTCAACTACACGTCTCCACTTGCTTCTGTCTTCTGCTGTACTTTTCACCTGCACCCATGTTAGTCCGTACTGTTTCAGCTCCTCTTCCCACGATCTCCTCCATGTCACCCTTGGACGTCCCACTCGCCGCTTCCCTTTCGGGTTCCACTCGAGCTATGGCCTGACGCGCGATGTCACCCAGCGGTCTCCTCAGCGAGTGTCCAATCCGTCTCCACTTTCTCCTGCATATTTGTTCAGCGATTGGTTCTTGTTTTGTTTGTTCCCATAGTTTCTAGTTGTTGATTCTTTCCGGCCATCTGATCTTCAGTATGGAGCAAAGACAGTTGTTGATAAAGGTCTGCAATCTGTTGGAAATATTCTTGGCGACCCGCCAAGTTTCTGATCCGTGTAGAAGAACTGACTGACTTGACGTTTGTATTGAAAATCCGAATCACTTTGTTGTTGATGCAGGCTGAGTGACGAAGATTTCCAGATTGGTTTCAGGTTGATGATGTTGATGTTTCTCGCCTTCCCGATTCTCGATTTGACATCCTCGTCCGTTTCTCCCGTGGTTGAGACAATGCTCCCTAGGTGGATAAGTGAATGAAGTAAGCTCTTTCAAATCCGTATCGTTTATGGTGATTGGCGCTGGATGTTGCTGCTGTCGTTGTTGTTGTTGTTGTTGGTTGGTTATTTTCATAACCTCCGTTTTGTCTGTGTTCACCTGGAGTCCTGTCTTTGCTGCTTCTTCGACCAGTTTGTCGGTTTTCGCTTGTGAGTCTTCGATTTTGTGTGACATCAAACATAAATCATCCACGCGCGAAATCCAGGTCTTCTAGGTTCTTCACGTCGGCGACCATACCACGTTGAAAGCACCGGTTCTCGTCCGATCACCGAAGTTAAGCAAAGTTGGGCCCGGTTAGTACTTGCATGGGTGATCGGCTGGGAATACCGGGTGTTGCCGGCTTTTTTAACCTCGCCCAGATTACTAGCTCACTAGTTTTCGACCTGGTCCCAAGCCAGGATAAAGAGGGAGGGTTGGGGCGTGGTGCTAGCAACCCCACCCCCAAAAACTTAAACAAATTGCTACAGAAACTTCAACGCACAAATATATAAAAATTAAAATGCAATACTATGAATTAACCTAATGTGGAATTTTACCACTGTCAATTTATAATAGCTTTAGCCTCTAATAACATGCATTTTTAGATCCCCTAGCACACAATACAAAAGAAATCAATCAAAAATAGGGGCTGTTAGTCGAAAGACAAGTTTTGTTGTATGCCTTTCCTCTTTGACCAGCAATCTGATCTTCATTATAGTGCCAGCTAAGGAAATTATTGATTTACGTTTGAAGCAGGGTGCTGGAAATGTATTCAACACCAAGTTTCTGAAGCATATAGAAGCACTTCTTTGACACTGGTGTTTGAAATTCATATCTTGTTTACTGTCCTGAGTGCTGTGGGTCTACTTACTAATTTTAGAGTAATCAACACATATTTTGTTTTTGCCATCCGATCTGGAGTGGCTTTCACATACTCAGCCATACCACACACCTGTAGATGAGACTATTCTATCTGTCTAGTTAAGTGAATGAAATGACTTCCACTTGATTTCACCCATTCATGTTGTATATTGTTTCTTGTTGTTTTTGTTGTTGTTGTAAGATGTGTTCGAGTATCTTCATCACTTCCGTCTTCTCTGTGTTCACCTATAGACTGGTTTTTGATGTCTGTTTTACCAGTTAGTTGATTCTCGTTTGTACATCTTATGGTTGGTGGAACATGAGGAATAAATAATAAACGTAATTCAGATTATCTTCAGTCTAATGTATGGTCTTCTTCTATTGGTCTACCACAATCTGGAACATCATGGCTGACGTCTCTTCAAGGACTAACATCAGCTTTCCACTGTGAATTACTTGGAATGTGCATCATTGCATAGCTGTTTATGAATGTTTGTGGCACTGAACTGTATAGTATGTTAGTAGTTGCCAAATTACTTAGCTACTGAAGGCATTTTCAGAGTCCGTTACTCTGAGATGACTACCATTCTAGCCTCTGTTCGACGGTGTGGTTTGTTCCGCGTACTTCAGATTTATTGATATAAGTATAAAACTTGGTCACTGTGGTAGAGTCCATTATGGACTTACTCATGCTATAGCTGATGAATAAAGCATTCATACAGCGATAAAAATTCATTATTCAAAGCCGCGGCTTTATTTATTCAAGTGGATGATTATAAATTCCGCTTAAATTATGGAAACCTTCATCTGGCTCTTCTTGTGGTAAGCCACAAATAAGATTATTGTGGAATCGCGGAGGTTACTGAAACTAAGAGTAGTACTATGGTCTTTTCATTATAAAAAGCAGAATAAATACTGTGATAAAGTGGAGCGTATCAAATACAGATACCGAGATTCTGCTTTGACAAAAGGCTTAAAAGCTTTACTGTACAAATATGAATATCTTACCTGATTATGTATATACAAATCTGCTAAACTTCCTATAACAGGTTCAGTGACGAAAATGAGATATTCACTGTTAAAAGAATGAGAAACATCATAGTTTAGGTAAGTCACTAAATATTAAGAAATAGTTAAGAACACGAATAAATAACGCATAATCTATAAGAGCATCTTAAACAAGAAACAGCTTTCATCAGAAGCAAACCACAAAGCGTTTTTGAAGGTATAAAGATTATTAGTAGAATTCTGCATACATAGGTCAGTTACCCTCTTAGACAGATTCCCTAGATTACAGTACTTAAGAAACCCGAGTAACTACTGCTTGTTTCCAGTTGTAATCTCACGTTGCTTTTCATTTTTTTTAAATCTATTCCATCATAAGAAGTGTTTTAAAATTATTCAAACACAAAGAATTGTTGAGGGACTAGAATTCAGATGCATTTACTTTAATGTGTATGAATAGCCTAGAAAGATGTCTCCTGGAGTTAATCCGTAGGTTTTATTCATTACTTATTCTGGCTGGATTAGTTGGTTTCCTTCGGTACATAATCTCTTCGATACCGTCCAGATGCTATATGTTTGGTGATGGCCCATACTGTGAGATTAAAAATACATAGAAGAATGAATTATAAACCAGATCAGCACGAAATTCAGAGGCCCTGAGTTCTCTACTCTTGATATAACCGCAGGTACGCACTGATGGACTGTGCCAAACTACGCCAGAACAACGGTTCAGTACTTCATTGTTCTCAACCATTGTCTAACTAATGTCGTTTCTTGACGAACTTTACCTTTAAAAATTGCTTGACTACTGGGATTAAATATTGACTGTTCACTAATTTTCATGACTCGAATGGTGAGATGAACGAAACTGCATTATTACACAAGTGATTTTACTGATCGAATGTGTCTGTAAAAGACTAATTAGATTGTATATTTGTCTGTGATTTGTTCAACGATGTGAAAGTAACGCAAATCATTTTTACCTCAGAATAATTATGGTTTCTTCGTGACATTATTTTCGTGTTTATAAGTAATTAGACCTACCTGATAAAGAATAGTTATTTGCTAAAAGAAATTTTAACAAAAAATTAATAATTTCAAGAAAACAATAGTAAAACGGTAGTTTTTATTCTCTGTTATTTTCATTAAGAGACAAAATGGCTGGTGAGAAAAGGAAACATCAACACTGATTTTTTTATAATATTTATCCTGGCCTCTTTTAGACTTACTTATTCTCTTCAATATCTTGTATCAGCTGTAAGAAACGTGGATGTTTCAGTTTGTTTAAATTTGTCAAATCACTGCGTAGAGTCTCTAAAATTAATTCACGTCGACGATTTTTATTGATTCTATCCAATAGCTTTTTATCACACATAAATGCTGTACATTTCTGGAAACAAAATTCACCATGAAAAGGAAAAAAAGTAAATGGCGAATAAATTAGAAAAAGAATTGATAACATTTCAAGTGAATGGAACATTATGAGGAATTTTATTGATGTGGATAATGAAAAGATACCCTCACTCTTGAACGGACACTATTTTAGGTGCTAGTAAATGTTCAGTATTCACTTGAGACCTTCCTTACCTCATCATGTTAATTAAGAGAAGATTAAAATGCCGCAAAATTTATTCGGATTTGTTTAACTGGTTTTCAGATTCCTGATCGACAAGTCTATACTTTTTTTCAACTACTTGTTTATATTAGACGATGAACAATTAAAGTGCAACACATAAACAAATTTCTAAATGTCATTTTACTCCACAGAGTCGGTTTTTTTCTTACGACCGTCACTAGGAATCTATTCACAGCAAATGCTGTCTTCTTCATTTTCCCCACAAAAGGTGACTGCCATACGTAGAAGGTTTCGTCACTTACTCACAGAATCATTCCTTGCCAAACTGTGATCATGCATAGAGAAGGAACAGAACTACACCTTCATTAGTTTATCAAGAATTATTTGGAGTTTATTTTAACAGGTATTCATAGTTTAAGCATATTCTGGTTAGTGGAACTGATCTCCGGTCAAAATGCATTGAGCATTACGCCCGTCTACAGTAGCGTAAGTATTTGACCTCTGTTTCATCTTGTTATGTGGAGTAAAACCTGTGGGGCTGAAACACGGACATAAATATAAACACTTTTCTTTACACACAGTATTTGTTTTTATCAAATTTGAATATTTAGAAATACTTGTGTGGATTAGAATTTCTTCCTTTACAGTTCTTTATGTTAGGCTACAGGAATGATGGCAGATGCACAAGTGGAAAGTAATTCTGATATAAGATTGTAGTTTGTAGTTAGGAGAAATCTTTGGACCGAAATTTCGTACATAATGGTAACTAAGTTCTGAGAGCATCTCCAACTACGAAGTAATTGGTGAATTTCCGGAGGTCTACATGTATGCAACTCATTCTGCAGTCAGAGTTATCACTAATAAATCAAAATTTTTTACTACTTTTCATTGACATCTTTCACCTAAAGCCTACTATTTGCCACTGATACCATGTCAAAGAAAGCAACCAATGACATATTCACCTAAACAACACCTGCTCATGCTTAATATGCATGCGAGATCATCACAAATAGAAAGGAAGGTTACAGGGTGTAATGAATTGATTTATGATAGTCAAGCGTAATTTCATTCATTGTTGCTACAAACTAACGAAAGCATAAAAACCACAACAGAGGCTGAATAGTGAAGTCAGTAGTAAGAAAATAATTAATGGAATGAAAATGCTGACATAACTAAGGCGTTCAGGACGAAGAGTTAAGTTACAGATGTGTATGACTGTTTGGTCATTGAAACGAATTGAAAGAATAACTATGGGTTATTTGTTGGTTTAGAAATAAAGTCTAAAATGAAGTTAATTTGATTTTACTTTATGCTGATATGCTTGATTTTTCCAGTAGATATACTGTTATCTAAACGAATCCTCAAAAGTTTTCCCCTTTTCACTATCTAAATCACGTTTCATTTGAAAGCAGAGAATGACGAAAAGTATCTAATGTTGATTTGAATAAACATGGGCATGAAGACCTCGAAATATGCTAACTCTTGATTTAATAGGCAGTTGTTTTGATGCAGAAATAATTCTGAGCATATTTCAGATTGGTTTTGAATGAAATGAGCAAGAAATTCAATACGGCTGATTTTCGGTATAAATAAGCTTCCACTTGTTTTACTAGTTAAGAAAATTTCTCAATTTATAGTCGCATATTACATTTCTAATGTGATATTACTCCAACTTATGTTACAAACGTTCAACAGATTTCTTAATGACAGTAGATAATTAGAAAAGGAAAATGTTTTCTAGATAGTCCAAGTGACACTCAATGATGCTGTAAGTTAGGGGTTAGAATGAAAGACAAAATAAGAAACAAACAACAAACAAAACAATATTCAGTAGAAATTTAATCGTTTCTTTTTGTCATAACTTTTGCCTGTTTTAAAATCAATTATTCTCACGGAAATATTTTCTCTAAACTATTATAAAAGCTAGGCGCAGGCAAAGCGTACTCGACTATGAATTCACTTCATAATTACTTAAAAGCCAACTTTATAAAAAGAAACAAGAGTTCTACAGACAACTACAGGCAACAATGAATAATACTCCATTGGTGACATTAAAATACTAATGTGAAAGATGAACGCGAAACTAGGACAACACACGATGACAACTCATTATGGGTAGAGGAGATCTCGGAGAGATGAATGATAACGGAGAACTCTTCGCTGACTTCTGTGCCTTCAATGAAAGAGTCATTGGTGGCAGCGTATACAAGCACAAGAATATCCACAATGCTAAATGGGTGTCACCAAAAACCAAACTGACTTCATCTCAATGCTGATCAATGAAGTGGAGAGGTAGCTTACTGGACAGAAAAGTAAGAAGAGGAGAAGACGTTGGCTCAGACCACTATCTCGTACAAGGAACACTCTAAATCAAATTAAAAACTTTCAAAGAAACAGGAGCTGCAGATAGACCACAAGCCAAGTTCAATACTCAAAAACTGAAGGATCAGGATACGAAGGACATATATGTCCAAACCAAGTTCACTTTTAACAGTTTGAAAAAATTTAAGCATTGGGTATATGATATTCATTATAATAAAGGTTTTTGTATTTCCCAATGAATGAAAAACAAAACGATATTGTTTTAACAATACAGTTTTGTTTTTCATTCATTGGGAAATACAAAAACCTTTATTGTTATACAAAGGAAATCTTCACTGCAATCATAAGGAAAAAGGCAGAGACACAAATCAACACCAGCGAAGAGACCAGCGTTGAAAAGCACTGGAATAGCCTGAAGCGGTGTGGAGTCCAACCTGCATGGAAGTTCTCTTCAGAAAGAAGAGCCAGGACAAACAGTGTCTCACCACAGACACATGGAGACTGATAGAAGAGAGAAGGATGGTGAAACAAAAGACTATCCAGTGCATTGACGAGCAACAAAAACAGGAGTTGAATGCAAGCTACAATACACTGAACAAAAGAGTATGGAAGAGTGCCAAGGAAGACAAAAGAAAATATTACGAAGCTATAGCAAGTGAAGCAGAACAAGCTGCAGGCAAAGGAGACCTTGCAACACTCTACCATGGAGAAGAAATCAACACAAATTGAGTCAGTGAAGGATGACAGTGGGAAGTCAATCACCAAAGAGGTGGAGCAAAGGAAACTCCAGGCTGAACACTTTAAAAGACTTCTGAATCGACCGCCACCTACAACACACCCAACAATACCAACAGCGGAAGCAGAACTACCAGTTGACATCAAACCTCCGTTGAAAACAGAAATCCTGAAGGCATCAAGGTTCTAAAGTCTGGAAAAGCAGCAGGACCAGACGGAATCCTAGCAGAGGCATTGAAAATGGACTCAGAGACAACAGCGGACATGATGACATGACTACTGGAGAAGGTGTAGAAAGAGGACAAGATACCTGTTGATTGGAAGAAAGGCTACCTATTCAAACTGCTGAAGAAAGGGGACTTAAGTCAATGCAAGAATTGGCGAGGCAATATGCATGTGTCCATCTCAAACAAAATACTAAGCCGCATCATCCTGGAGAGAATCAAACAAGCACTGGATGAGAGACTCCGATCGGAACAGGCTGTATTCAGGAGGAAGGATTTATGCATCGATCAAATCGCGTCGGTATGGATCATCACTGAACAGAGGTCGGAATGGCAGTCAGCTCTCTACCTCAACTTCATTGACTTTGAAAAGGCATTCGACAGCGTCGATCGAGAGGTGATTTGGAAACTACTTCGCTACTATGGAGTGCCGCCGACAATTATCCATCTCATCCAACAGTTGTACGACAATGCTGCATGCAAAGTAATCCACAATGGGAAACTTACGGAATCCTTCAAAGTGAACACGGGAGTAAGACAAGGCTGGCTGCCTACTATCTCCAATGATTTCCATGATGGCTGCAGACTGGATAATGCTACAGATAGACAATGGGCAACGAAGAGACAGGCATAAAATGGACCCACACAGAAAAACTTGAAGGATCTTGACTTCGCCGATGATATATGTCTGGTTTCCGACAAACTGGAAGATGTGCAGATGAAAAGCGACAAGTTGAAAAAAGAAGCATCAAAGATAGGACTTCCTTCAGGTGAACATAGAGAAAACAGAGGTGATGAAGATTCCTGGATAAGAACAACAACAACAGACAACAATCAGCATAAGTGGGAGAAATCTGAAAGAAGCAACCTCCTTTACCTGCCTACATGGAAAGCATCGTTTCAACTACAGGCGGGCGGAACTGATGAGGAAACTAAAGCGAAGATCGGGAAAGCAAGGCAAGCTTTCTCTACTCTCAAGTCTGTGTGGAGATGAAAGCATTTGGGCAGACGTGGAGCCAGGTGAAAACGTTGGCAGAGAACCGAACGCAATGCAGACGTGCGGCTGCATCCCTTTGCTCCTCTAGGAGCTAAAGGAGACAATAATAATAACTTTATAACTCTTCATTAAAATTTTATGTATAAGCAAAACGTAGATGAGAAAATTACTGATATACAAGAAAATTAAAAAAGATGATACACATAGAAAAAATTAAAGGGAAAAGCTGCATTTGAACAGACTGCATGCATAAATGATTACATTATTCTAATAAGGAAACTATTTTTTTTCTTAATCCTAATTCTCACACAGATTCACATGATCATTTGACATATTCTCACCAAAAGGGGATTTTTCTTTTCTAATAAGGCAGATGAATTATATTATAGGGTGTTTTCTTTTCTTTCAAAACTGTATCAATTCCATTATCTCATCAGTGACAAAACCAATGTATCTTAGTATCTCAATGGTCTACTAATTCAAGAAGAAATTTTGAATAACGAAAAAAACTTCAAACAATATTTTGTAGAAGATAA